AAGTCTATGTACTTCATGCTTTATACATCAGCAACAGCTGTATTCCGAAGCTCCAAGGAAAACCTCCCTCAAAATAACATTGCTGCAAAGAGAAAATGGAATTTATGAACTTTGGCACAAACTGTCCTCCTGAGCCATATTCAGTTTTGAAGCTTGAATGGAAAAATCCACTGCATATAGAAGCCAGGCATGCAGGATCTCTGAGCTGAGTCTATTGTTAGCAGAAGAAAGGGGTGCCAACAATACACAGAGCTCTGGGGGGAGGAGGGAGTAAAGGGAGTCTGAGACCTTGAGCACATCGTGTCCTGCAGGCATCCTGGACGCGGCCCACTTGGATGGGAACCTAACCACAGCATTACACATGCTCAGAAAGATGCAAAGCAGGAAACCTCCTATTTGGCAGAGTGCCTTTACATAACCAGACTTGAATTAGCTTACTTAGACAGTTTCACAAATTTCCAAAAATAGCTTTTTTGGATTGATTTGCTCATTAAATAATAATGATGATGCTCTAACCAGGGATCTTTTGTAGTTTAAAAAAAAGCCCTGGTAATGTGGTACATAAATGGTTAGTCAGGCGGTTAGCAGGTCGAGTCCTTGAGTCACTCTACAATAGAAAGATTGACAGTCTTTTTCAGTAAATATTTAGTCTCAGAAACTTGATGGAGGATCAGTATGAGTTGGAAGTGATGCAACAGCAGTATTTGTTTGGTGTCTGTTTTCTTCCATTTTAATAGTTTGAACTAAACAGTCATACTTTAGCCTTGTCCCAAATCTTATGCCTGATCATCTCAACTCATTCATTTTCATGTGGTCAGTGTTACGATGTTCTCGGGGAGTCACAGGGTAGTGCAGTGGTCTTCCTGACTCAGCTCTCTTTCCATGTTGTTGGCCATAACTAAAGTTACCCTTGACCATTAGAATAGATTTCCCCAATTACAATTTCAGAAATAATGGATAAGAGGGTCTGTTTGAGACTCTTCTTCCTATAAGGCACTTGGGTGTGTGCAGAATTATGATTTTATATCTTATCTTTCTTTCTATCTATCTATCCACCTACTATCTATCTATCTATCTATCTATCTATCTATCTATCTATCATCTATCTATCTGAAGTCCACAGACAAATAGGCATACTGATTCTATAAGTCAGATTAAGGGTCTTAATACATTATTTCTCCTGGAGAGGAGATACTCAAGGAGCTGCTCAAGGACTTCTAAGTGACTCATCTCTACGTGTACCAATAACCCTGGCAGCTCCTGGAGGTTGGGAAAGGGGTGAACAAACCTGACTATATATCTCACAGCTATATGTAAATATGCTTTATGAAAGTGCAATACAAATAAAATTTTTATTTGATCCAAATATTACTCTACATTGAATTAGTACTGTGGCCCACTGAGAACTATCAAAGGCTTACTCAAAATGACAGCAAAATCTCATTAGTCTTGCATAGTCCAAGTACTGTTCTATCTTAGGGCAAGTAAATGAAGTAAATAGCACTCTGGATCTTTCTAATGAAGGGTGTGTTTGCTTTTTGTTATCAGAGTGAGATGATTGATTACACAAGGACTCTTAATCAGGAGATGCCAGAAAGTTAGCACTCAGCATTTGAAATCTGTTGCCTACCTTCATTAGAAGCAGATATTACAATGTAAATATACACATGATTCTTCATAAAGTTTGTGGAGAAATTTCTATTTTTATCACCACTGTATTTATCCCTGTAATCTGATTTTTAATAATCCTTCTTTTTATTGACTTGCATACATTCATTCAGACACATGGTGTTTCATTCATAACTGGCATAATAATCATAACTTGCATAATAATAATCAATAATATTGTCCTGGAAAGGGTTAAACCGGGTGGCTCCTTGGAGGCAAGGATTCTGAGGCTCCATCTAACATACTCTGGACATGTTGTGAGGAGAGACCGGTCCTTAGAGAGGGACATCATGCTTGGGAGGGTGGAGGGACAGCGCAGGAGAGGAAAGCCCTCTATAAGGTGGATGGATTCAGTGACTGGGATAATTGGGATTGGAGTGTCAGAGACAGTGCGATTGGCACAGAGCAGAGTTTAGGGCTGTTGTACATAGGGTCGCCATGAGTCGCAAGCGACTCGACGGCACATAACAACAACAACAACAATTTAATACCACCCAATTTAATTAATACTGTGCATACCTCAGATATCTTACAGGCTCACTTCCAGACTCCTATAATAAAAGCAATAAACCTACTCACACAAATATTTTTTCTTTCCTGGTGCATATAATTATTGTCATATACACTTTTTGTTAAGTGCTGTCAAGTTAACTACTACTCATAGCAACTCTATGAACAACAGCCCTGAACCTTGCCCAATTCTGAGCCCATCTCACCATCTCTGACAGACCTAGGCTCCATTACCACAGCCATTGTGTCAGCCCATTTTATCCCAGACCTGCCTTTCTTGTGTTGACATTCTATCCTTCAAAGTATGATGTCCTTCTCCAAGAACTGGCCCTTCCTGGCAACATGCCCAAAGTATTGGAGATAGATTTTCAAAATCCTTGCCTACAAAGAGCAACCTGGTTTCACTTTCTCCAGGACAGGCATGTTTGTTCTCTTGTCAGTCCATGGTATGTTCAGTATTCTTCTCCGGCACCATAATCAAAGACATCAATTCTTACTCTGTCCCTTGTCATTGTCCATCTTTCATAGGCATAGCAAGTAAATGAGAAGAACATGACTTGGATCAGGAGTACCTTATTCTTTAAATTGGCGTTGATGCTTTTTAGCACTCTGGAGAAGTCCCTGACAGCAGATGTTCCCCAGTGAAACTCGTCTTTGGATTTCCTGACTGCTGGCAGCAAGGATCCTGATTGGGAATCTGAACAAGATGAAATCATTAATGCCTTTATTTTTTTTCTCTATCTCTCATGATTTTGCCTATTTAGGAAATGTTTAAAAATGAACAATATCATTGGATAATTGTTGCTATTACATGCAAGCAAAATATTTCTGAAGACCGTTCAAAATTAGCTAGAAGTACTTTTACAGATGGCCAGAAGTTCAAGCTGCATTTAGAAGAGGCATTGGCACCAGGGATCAGTCAGCTGGATCTTGGCTGAAAGCAGAGAATGCCAGAAGAATGTCTCTTTGTGTTTTATTGACTATGTAAAAGTGTTTTATTGTGTGCCTCATAACAATCAATGGCTAACACTGAGGAGAATCAGAATTTCAGAACATTTAATTGTGCTTATATAAAACCTGTATCTGTAGACCAAGAAACTGTTGTTCAAACAGAACAAGGGAACACTGCATGATTTAATATCAAGAACGGCATATATTAGGGTTATAGGCTATATAACTTTTCCATCTGTATGCTAAACAAATATTTCAAGAAGCTATAATTTATGAAGAAGGATGTGGTATCAGAAGCGGAGGAAGACTCATCAACAACTCTATATGCAGATAACACAGCCTTGCTTATTGAAAATTAGTAGAGCTTGAAGCATTTGGTGCAGAAAAATCAGACTACAGACTGCAATGTAGATTACATGTCAAGATCAAGAAAACAAAGATTCTTAACACAATGGCAACATCATGATAGATGGAGAAAACACCGGTGTTGTTAATAACCTAATCATGCATGGAACCACAATCAACACCACCAGTACTAGCAGTCAAGAAATCAAAAGAGCTATTGTACTGTAAATGTCTGCTTTCAGGGACCTCTATAAAGTATTAAAGAGCAGTGATGTCAGCTTAAAAACTAAGGTGCACCAGATCCAAGCTATAGTCTTTTCAATCATCTGCTATACATCTGAGATCTGGAGGAAAATGAAGATGACAGAAGAAGTATCAATGCTTTTGGGCTGTGGTTTTGGAGAAGAGTGCTGAGTTTCCTGTGGCCTGTCAAAACAGCAAACAGATGTATCTTAGAGAAAGTCTGGAAGAGTGCTCCATGGAATACGCATAGTAGATGTGTTGTTAGGTGAGGCTACTCCTTTCCATGCATGGCGAGGTGGAGAAATCAGTGTGGGAGAGGAAGATTCTCAACAAGATGGACTGACACAGTGGCTACCATAAGGCCATCAAGTATATCAGAGTTGATGAGTAGGACAGGAAAGGACATGGTTTAAATCTCTTGTTCATAGCATTATTATGAATTGTACTTGACTTAATAGCAGTTAAGAACAATGGCATATAAAAGGTGAACAAATGGTAAAGAGTTGTGCTGCCAACCCAAAGGTATAGTTCAAATCAACCAGCTGCTCTGAGAAAAGATGAGCATTCTTCTTTCATGCAATTTTCATCCTCTGAAAACACTTTGAAGGTCAATTTTGAGTCAGTTCTAACTCAACAGCACATAGCAACAAGTGCATATAAAAGTTATGTCACACTCTAGTGCAGTTTATTGTGTGCAATAACATTATAGAAAAATTTTAAATACTGTTAAATTACCAACCTATGACATGAAATGAGAGCATATTCTGTTGGAACAATGAGGCCAGTAGACTTACCTGATGGTGGTTGTTGTTAGGTGCTGTTGAGGTGAGTATGGCTCACACCATACACAACCCTACAAACAACAGGCCTGAACCCTCTCCTATCCTGTGCCATCCTCATCATCTCTAACGTACTCTAGTCCATTGCTTCTGTCACTCTGTCAGTCCATCTTGTTAAGGGGCTTTCTCTTTTTCAGTGAACCTCCACCTTCCAAGTATGGTGTCCTTTTCCAAAGAATAACCCCTCCTAATAACATGCCAAAAGTATGTGACATAGCACTCTGTCATGTTTGCTTCTAAGGAGCACTTTATCACAACACTTTGTTTAAAACATATATCTCTTCTTTCAGCATTCTGTTGTTTAAAACTTCAATTTGTTTTTTTTTTTAAATAGTGTTTGTGAAGCACCATACATTTGGGTATGCCTGAAGTAAGATCCTTTCATGATATATAAGATTAACTGTAGTTGTTACGCCATAATTATTGCTTGTTTTTGTTTTGCAGCCGCCACCTCAAATATATGACAAACAGCTGGATGAAAGAGAGCACACCATTGAAGAATGGAAAGGTAATTTTATTGCTTAAATTCAAGTATTCTTTTTTATCTAATGAAAGTAAAAAAGATTTCTCAAGATTTTTCCTCTGAACCAATTTAATAATAGATCACTTTCTAATTGCTATCCTCTTGGATAAATTTCAAAGCTCCCAATATTTCATCTATTGTTCCATACAGATAGCAATATTTTCATTTGCTCTAGAGTGAAAATATTTAACCATCTTAAAGTAGCTCTCCTTATAAAATATTTATATGAGGGAAGGACAAGCTTCAAGATAATTCAGAATTTCAGAGCTAAACTTCTCATATTTGTACTTAAAATCATATCAAATGGATACAATGGAAACCTTTTGAAATGGCTTACACATATAAAAGATGCTAAATACATGAAATTATTGCATTTCTAGGACTTAGCATTTAACTACAAAAATACCTATATAAAGAGCTTGGTTTTTTAAAAAAAAGAATGCATAAATACATTAATTTATTTATTTTAAATTTTTTTAATTATTAAATTTTATTAATTTTAATGAACACTTACAGAGATTTTGAGTTTTCATTCATTCATTGTTGCACTATTTTCTCTACCCTCCTCCCCAGTTCGTTCTTCTTTTTTCACCCTCTTGAACGTCTGTTTTAATTGTCCAATTGCCACAGTGCTTGTCAAAGCCAATTCTGATTAATCTCCTTTGTCAGTGTGTCCTTTGCCATTCCCTATCACTCCTCCCTGAGAGAGACTTCACCCTGATTCATAAGGAAAAGGGGATGGCATATTCTCTTAGCTACTTCCTGCTGAAAAGGGACGCTGTAGGTTTCAGGGTGAAGATCTTCTCTCACTACTCTAAAGGGCCCCTTTCGCAATAGGAAACACATAGACTATTATGGAGATTGATTTTGGAATTTAGATGCACTGTTATCAATTGTGCTTAGCCGTACATGTTCATATCCTTGAAGATGTATCATGGAAGTGTTGCAGCCTAGAAGACACAAATTTAACTAACAAGTTAAAAGTGCATGAGTCAAAAATTAAAAAGCAATAATATTCTAAGTAGAGGCTCTAATAGTGGCACAAATCAAATTACAGAGGGAAGGTAGTTCTTACAATAAAAGGCCTATTGACTAGCAGTTTGTCTATTATAGTATAAAGGTTAGGGATCACAAGATGTAGAGGTTCAACTATGCCATTTATTGTTCTTAAGTCCTGGATCAAATTCCATCTACCACTGGGTTGTTTTACAACTCAGAAGTCTGCATGCAAGGCAGAGGTGAAGTAAGGAACTGCTTATGAGGTTTTCTGCCAATTCCAACAACTAAGAAACAGTGAGAAGATTTGGGACCTCAGAAGGCTTTTAGGACCAAATAATAGGCTTTTGCATCCAGAAGAAAATGAATACTTACCAGTAATGTTAATGCTCACCCATAGCTTTCCTGGGAGGATCTAAATCATTGAAGTGTCCTCCTTTGTTTCCACCTGGGAGCTTTTTTTTTTCAATGAGAGTGTTTTTTTTTTCAATGAGAATGTTCCAAACACTTCAAGTACATTCAGGATTGTACTAAAAAGTAGAAAGAGAGGATTGAAAACTAAAACTTATAAGGCACTGTTAAAAACATAAAAACTACAGAAAAAAATCACAAATACTCTTTTTTTTCAATGAAAATTTTTTTTTCAATGAGAATGTTCCAAGCACTTCAAGTACATTCAGGATTGTACTAAAAGTAGAAAGAGAAGATTGGCAACTAAAACTTATAAGGCATTGTTAAAAATATAAAAACTACAGAAAAATCACAAATACTCATCCAACTAACAGGAAGAGGAACATAAAGTTAGAATTCAAGGGGATGAAGTGTATTCACTGCCTTGAAGGAATCAATAAATGTAATATGGTGGAAGCAACTATTAAGTGGAAGAGGGGAGAAAAGAAAACAAAGGATGGAAATAAAGAAAACCCATTTTAAATATAGAAATTCCATAGGCCAAGGTGTCATAATTGAGAACATTTTTTAAATGGGTTGTTATAAACTGTGATTCCACTAGAAGATACTGAAGGTGGAAAACTATTTTATCTAAAACAGCCATAGGGCTTATGAGCATGTAAGTAGTATGATCCTCCATTACTTACAGAGGCTGTGGACTAACGTATAAGAAAATGGAGAAAGCAATATTAGCAAAAAAATTATATAAATCAGAAATGGAAAGCAAGAATGTATTAAATATTTATCAGCTGACATTGAATGATTGATGATTTAAAGAAGGTTCAGATCAACAACAACAACAACAACAAAACAACTATTAATGTACTTCATTTTGAGCAACTTTAGATTTGCACGTCCAAGACGAGAGTCTAGAAAGATGATGTGAGATGGAAGATTGTAAGGATCTGTAATAGTCTGGCATCATGAGAATACATGAATCTCTTAGAGAGGGAATATAAATAAAAATGGCATCCTTAAAAACTAAGCCTTTAAGTAATGTGTCTCCATAAAAACTAAGCTATATAAGATCTAGTGTTCAACATTTATTTAAAAGTAAAAATGATAGGGCAAGGATAGGAAGAAAACCTAGGCAATGGAAACAGAACAAACAAAATAGAGATAATTACAATGCTGACAATGTAAAAATTATAACCAGTGCTATGGAACAGTTCACATACAACTTATTAAAGAGGAACCTAATTTTCCATTTAGATTTTCACCTAAAACAAAGAAACAAAACTGAACCATGGAATATCCTTAAGATACACAGAGAGAATGTATCAGGATTCTCAAAAGAATTAAAGCATAAATGCACTGTGTATTCTTGATTATTTAATGTATTCATTTATTTATAACCATTGATTTGAATACCAGTACCAGGATCTGTGTTAACTGCAAGACAAGGAAGAAAAGGAGTAGTAATTTATGCGAAATGTACTCATCCCCATCAAATGGTATTTTCTTTGTCATTAAATAGTTTTTTTATGGCATAAGGGAATCCTTCTTTCTATAACCCTAATAATTCTATCTTACAGAACTTATCTACAAGGAAGTAATGAATTCTGAAGAAAAGACTAAAAATGGCGTAGTAAAAGGACAGCCTTCTCCTTCAGGTACTCAATCTCAGTGAATAAATCAGCCAATAATGGCATATTTTTCTTAGCTATTGAGAAGAAAACCAAGGATGTTGTGTTGTAGAAATGTGTGCACAAACTTCACACGACTGTTTCTCTATAAAGACTTTTGTTTTATTCCCTGTGGTCTTCAGTGAGATATTCCTTATAATTATGATTATTTTGATGAATGTCTTTATCGAAAGATAGTTATCAAATACTGCTATGACAGAAATATCACAGTTTGTTGTTGTTATGTGCGACTCATAGCAACCCTATCTACAACAGTCCTAAACCCTGCTCTATCCTATGCCAATCTTACTGTCTCTGACACACCTACCCTTATTACCCTAGTCACTGAGTCAGTCCATCTCATCAAGGGTCTTCCTCTCCTGCACTGTCCCTCCACCCTCCCAAGCATGATGTCCCTCTCCAAGGACTGGTCCCACCTTATCGATGATGTTTTAAAAGCGGCATTTTTTTTTTCTTTTCTTTAAGACTGGGTTTAGGAGGTTGGCTCTAGAGGAATGTCTTGTATGTTGGTTCCTTTGTTTTCTTCCTGTGATGTAGCCTCTATCTCCCCCTATCTCTGCTTGCTTCTCTATCAAAGGAGATTGAGTCAGATACACCCACTGAATTACATCTTCATTGACAGTACAGAAAATTAACAAATGGTATTATAATTACAGATTTATATTTTTTATAACATTGCATTTTTTTTTCAAATGGTTTTACTTGTGTTTATTGATTATTAACCTCCTCAAAATCAAGCACCATTACCATTTCAACAATATTTATGTTACTGAATGCAAGGGGCTCTTTCCGTAGTCAATCGCCAATAAGAAAAGCGGATTGCAACATCCATAAATGCACTATAGTACACAGATCTGGGAGACAGTGAGCCACCTCCAAGACTGCTTCCTCTCCTGGGAGTGGCCATCAGGTTTTATACTAGGGTGAAACTTTAGCTCATTCAACAATGCACTTTTGCTAGCCAAAAAAAGGTAATTAAAATGCAATTTATATATGACTGGAGAACCAGCCTCACCAGAACCCAGGATGGATGTATTTCCTCTTCTGGTAAACAGACGTATCAAACTACTCCATGTGACTAAAGACAGGAAGCAGAGAATTCAGAGGCCAATTAACTAGTTTTGCAGGCTGAAGAAAACTGATGTTAGTTTTACAATTATT